TATGGGTCCAACAAACTCCTACCTCTACTTTCTCCTAAATAAAACCTCTCATTGCTCAAACGTCTCCTAGTTCAACCCTGTCTTAAAGCATAGTTTTACCCTGTCAAAGTTCAGCCCTGTCCTAGTTCAACCCTATCCAAGTTCAACCCTGTCCAATTTCAACCCTGTCCTAGTTCAACTCTTTCCCAGCTCTAGCCTTTCCTAGTTCAACACTGTCCTAGTTCAACCCTATCCAAGTTTAACCATGTCCTAGCTCAACTCTGTATTAGTTCAACACTGTACTAGTTTAATCATGTCAAAGTTCAACCCAGTCTAAGCTCAACCCTGTCCAAGTTCAATCCTGTACTAGTTCAACCCAGTCCTTGTTCAACACTGGCCTAGTTTTACCCTATCCATGTTCAACCCTGTCCTAGTTCAACCCAGTTAATGTTCAACACTGTCGAAGTTCATACTGTCCTAAATAAACCCTGAGCCAGATCAACACTGTCCAAGATCAACCCTGCTTAAGTTCAACCCTGTCCTAGTTCAACCCAGTCTTTGTTCAACACTGTCCTAGTTCAACCCTGTCTTAGTTCAACACTGGCCTAGTTTTACCCTGTCCAAGTTCAACCCTGTCCTAGTTCAACCCTGCCCTAGTTCAACCATGTCCAAGTTCAACCCTGTCCTAGTTCAACCCTGTCCTAGTTCAACGCTCTCCAAGTTTGAGTACTATTCTTTGAATAAACTGTTGCAAAGTTCAACATTGTCTTAGTTTAATCATGCTCTAGTTCAGCTCTGTCTTAATTCAACCCTGTAGTAGTTCGACACTGTCTTTGTTTAACCTTGTCAAAATTCAACCCTGTCTTAGTTGAAGGGGAGTCCCTCTCCAGAGGTTGAACTTTCAACCGACCTGGGCACGCTTGTAGGGGTGGGGGTAGTGGATTTAGGTTTTTTTTCAAGCATATCGGGGAAAGTCAAGTGCCCCACGGAGAAAAAAATATGTACAACAATAAACTGCAAATATATTTTATTTTAAAAAAAACTACCAAATTGTCATTTTTTTCACAATTCTAAAAATAATATTAACTGATGTCATTTACCGATTACAATTAGTGGAATCTATCAAATATCGCTACGCTCGATACATTTGATATTCAGTATATTTAAGGCTAATCTTGTTAGAAGCTGACATTATGCGATTATAAATATCGCAATATTTCGAAACTTTGCCACGTCCGATTATGAGCCGAAGAATTACTTTGTGTTCTTCGCATTTACTGTTATTTTTTTATTTAACTATTTTTGTGAAAATTCATAAGTTTAAAAGACTTTAATTTTAATAACACTGTAATAAACTACATTTACTTCAATTTTAAGGCTTAATACAGTTCTCACTAAGTATCAAGCATGAGCAATTCTTCCTGTTTTCAAGGTATATTTCATAATAAAAGCATGACTTTTAAAGTACAGAATCGGAATGTGTTATAAAATGTATGATGGCGATGGCCTCATTCTTTAAAAAAATATAGTTATTATTAGCACCATTTTAAATGTACTCTACTCCATGTACATTAAGCTAGAAAAAAAAAAATGAAAACGTTAAAAAACTGATATAGGCCTATTTTTTTTTTTGAAAGAAAAAATTACGAATTCAATGGGAGCACACCAATAGTACACGATTCATCTATTATTATAGTGAAAGTGTTTGTGTTTTCTATGTGCTACTTTTGTAACAAAGTTTCCTGAACAGTGGGTATTTAAAAAAAAACAAAAAAAAACAAACAATTAGCCAATTTTTTTTTATATCTCCAATTGATTTCCTGATTTTAATTTCACAAAAATAAACAATCTACCTATTTGCACGCCCTTTTTAAAAAAATATTTTTAAAAAATGAGAATTCAATAGACAGCTAAAACAAGGTTGATGTGTTACGGTATATTGATGAGGCAATTTGTAATGTATCCGCAGCACGTTATAATATTTTGAAATAATCAAATAATCAGTAGAATAAACTGAATTTTTGAACCCTATACTTAATTTTTAAACGATTTCTTTCAGATAAAATAACATATTTATAAATATATTATGTAATTTGTAAACATCTCATGTCTGCTAAAGAAAAATTATCCCGTTCATATACGATTGATAAAAACGACCAGCTATGAAAACCCAAACAAATGTAAGAGACCTTTCTACAAAACTTTTTTTTTTTTCTCTTTGACTCTGATAAAACTTGATAATATATAGAAAAAGTAATTATTACAAGTATTTGTTTTAATTTGCGTACACCATGTTAAACGATACCAGCAATGCATTCAGCATGTTAAATCTTGCTAGCAGTGCGTTTGGCGTTTAAAATGTTTGCTAGCAGTGCGTTTGGCGTTTAAAATGTTTGCTAGCAGTGCGTTTGGCGTTTAAAATGTTTGCTAGCAGTGCGTTTGGCGTTTAAAATGATGCTAACACCGCGTTAACGTGTAAAATGATGCTAGCAGTGAGTTCACCATGTAAAATTATACTGGCAGTGAGTTCACCGTGTAAAATGATGGCAGCACTGCGTCAACGTGTAAAATTATACCAGCAATGAGTTCACCATGTAAAATGATGGCAGTCGTGCTTTTTGTGATGGAAACCATTATTGGAAGGCATGTTTTTTTTAACATTAATTTTTATTAAAAAATTCGTTACTTTTTTTTTTATGAAGTTTGCCCAAACATTAAATAAAAATTCAAAGCCACATTACTAATTATTAAAACATATTAAAAAAACTGTTTAGCACAAGCGATCCATAAGAATAAGAATTTGAATGCAATTCCCTAAGAGCACCAAAATAAACCTAGGCCAGGGGTGAGAACACTTTCATTTCAAAGATTAAATTAGTCGAAGAAAAAAAGAAGAGCCACATGAAACCCACCCCCACCCACTAAATTGTTGTGCTACTTTAAACGTTAAATGTATTTTTCTCATTTATAATTTTTATTTTATTTGTGGCCGATTATATCCGCGGTAACACCACAGAAGCAGCCATGACGGCTAACTAAAATTAAAATTAATTCATACATTTCTAAATGAAACAATTTCGTCGAAATATTTAAGTACCCAAGAGCCGTCGCTTGACTTTTCGAGCCCAACTTCCACGTCTCAGTTTTGTCCTCCCCCATTTTGAATTCAAAGTTGGTAGTTAAAACCGGTCTGAAATACCCCAAGGTTCCCTTGCGGACGTTTGGGTTGCGAGGCCAACACGATGGCTCTGGGGTTAAATGACACCTACATTTTAACTAGCATCTCTTCCGTTGCTCTCCAATTAAAAGTAGAACGTTGCAAAACAAAATTCGGGTGTACGCTTGAATTATCAAATAATTTCTGGGTTCCACAATTTTTGTTTGTTGTTGTTGCCATCCATCCATCACAATGTGACGATGGTGTAGAGATCGCAGGCGAAATCCAAAAGGCTGGGATTATTCTTTTTAGTATTATAAACTGGTTCCCACACAACAAAACGCCTCTCTCCACGCCGCTGGACAACCCAAGGGTTCATCATGTGGATGGCAGTGATAGTGGACGGTACAAGCTCCTGTTTTGTTGGTGTTAAGTCAGGGGTCCCCCAGGGATCGTTGCTAATCACCTGTTTATTCCTGGCAAACATCAATGACCTACCCGAGAAACTGACATCCCAATTAAGACTTCTCGCAGATGACACGGCGGTGTATAGGACGATCGCCAACAGTTCTGACCAGGAACAGCTACAACAGGATCTCAATCGGTTAGCTAGGTGGGAGATGAGCTGGGACATGGAATTACATCCTGCCAAGTGCCAGACCCTGTCAGTCTCTAGAAGTAGTACCCCTCTTCACCACCATTATGAACTGCATGGCCATATACTTGAGCAAATTTCCTGCGTAGGTTACCTCAGTGTTAGATGTCCCCGGGCGCCAGCTAGTTAGGGGCGCCAAAACAGTTAGTTAGAATCTAGAGGTTTTCTAAATAATTAATATGTAGCGCACCACAACGGGAAGTAATTCAGTTTACGTATGGTACTGGGCGCCTTAATGTCTCCCCGAGATGTTCAAAAAATTCCTTCCCGTGATCAAAAGAAACACTAAAATCAGGTATACTCGAAAATGCACCTATTGATTTTGAAATAATCCAACATTTTCAAAAGACTCTACTTATGCATCCTCTTTCACGATTCAAACTCTGCTGTTATCCAAAAATGCCGAACCTGCAAATGGGCCACCCCATTCGTCCCCTTTCTACGCCTCTGGCATAGGTCTAACTAGAGAGTTTGGCACCAAGGGACATGATTCATTTTACTTCCTCTCTCAACTCTTACATCCATTATTTGTATCCATTAAATACAACCAAAACCCACTTTGGCGCCCCCGTAAGTCTGGCGCCCGGGGATATTAGTCCCTCTGCACTCCCTCAGCTACTCATCTGGTCACTGAACGCCCCCAATTACACGGTGGAAATTTTCTGAAAGAAACACTGGGTGGTTGGTATGAGATTTGACATAGATAGTGACGTGGGGAGGGAGAAAGGTCTTTAAAAAAAACAAAACAAAAACAATAACATAAAGTTCTTTATAAGCGGCCACTTTTATGATAAAATTTAAATTTTAATACTTTCTTTATTTTTATACTGAATATACTGACTTGAGATTTTTTTAAAATGCAAACCGTAAACCCGAACAAATTCGCGTATATGTTAATAAAAATATTATAATATTAATATATGATATAAATTGAGATTTTTATCGTCGAAGGCCAGCCAGGTAAAAAAAAAAGTGGGGGTGGGGATTTTTATGGGGGATAATTTATATGTGTGCTGGGAAGCTTTTGTGTGAAAAGGAATATATTATACTTCTTTCCCGTTGTCATTAAGTATTAAGCCATTAATTTAGTGGAGACGAATTTTTATTCCCGCTTTCTGTTTATAAATCTTTTATTCCATATTTTCTATAACTCTTAGCCAATAGAATTTACTCTTACAATTTTCCTTGGATGTGGTATTTGTATACAAGATGGCGTCAAGCCACGGTTATCCGAAGTGGCTTCTTAATTCAAAGGAAGATATTACAAAATCCAAGGTTTATATTAACCTGATCATTTTGAATATTATTGTCATAGACCTAGATTGGCTTATATTTTTACCTATATTTTAATTTATTTGAATACTTAAATTTTACCTATTTGTCAGGCCTATTTAATTTGCTAACTAACAGACTAACAAGACTAAGACTAATACTAATACTAATACAATTTACAATACTAATACTAGTAATACTAATAATAATAAGTAAAAGTTACTAAAAGTAAAAGCAATGTCAATGTTGAATGACAATACATAAAAAAGAGACTCATACAAATATTTACACTAGTCTCACTAGACAATAATCAACAGCTAAAATCTAGATTATTACACCCTCATTGTCTGCTGGTTAAAACGATAAGTCTGTCACTTAGCAGAAGAAACGTAGCCATCAGGATGTAGTTGTTTTCAATTTGATCACATACTTATAAAATTCACATACTTATTGAATTATGATTACATAATGCAGTCACAGCAAACTGACTAAATTCAATTTTAAACTTACTGAGACTCAAAGCAATGTAGGCTACAAAATGAGATTCACAATTGGAATGTTGAATTTAAATTATTATTGGCACTCCTCTGACTGCCGATTCAAAATTTCGAATAGCATACTTTTTGTTAGAAAGTGCCATACAGCCCCATTTATTGGTGATGTAATTTTTTACATCTACAGTTCTTAATAAATGGAGTACTCTTGTTTGTAATAATATAAAATAACCAATGCCGTGGCCGGCAGCCTGCAAGCGCCAAATTATATTGCAAATAATCATTAATAATGTTTTGCCAGGAAACATTCTGCAAACTTATGACACAAGGCCATAGACACTGTATGACTCATGACAGCATGCAAGTCAGCATGTTTTGTTTAGTATGGCTTGCTGAACACTCTCTCATAACTGTCAACGTCCCATGTCTTACTTTTGTCAAATGTGCTCAGTTCCTGTTGGTTACCCTTGAAAATGCCACCCATGAAATTCGAGATGCAGTATATGCAAACTGTGGGCTAAGCACACAGAGCATTGTCATGATGATATTCTATTGGGTTATGAAGTGAAATGCAAGGATTTTATACTTTTCAAAAGCATTGAAAGTTAGGACACCATTGTAAACTACAACAACTTTTTCTGAATTGAGTGTCTCAGTTGGTTTTAAGTTCAGCAAGGTGGAACATGCCATGGCCTGTTTCCAAGTTTCTTGTGTGCTTTCCAGTGGTGATTTAGCCACAAAAAATACTTTATTGGACAGTACTATAAGTTGTTGAGTGATAATTATCACATTTGACCATGTACATGGACGACATGGTAAAACATTGAACTGTCGAAGTAACTGGTCATTCGATGTATTCCAGGAATCAGAGGATTGCCATAGTTTTCAGTTGGCCAATTGTCATTGTTAAAGGAAAAAAAATACAGTCTACAAGAAAAATGTAAACCCTAATACTACATCTTCTGTCAGAATATTTTAATACTAATTTTAAAAGATATCAGGAGATTATTTTAAAAAAATTATTAATATTAAGAAATCATAGCTGTAAGTAATATAAAGAAGCCATAAAAACAACCATTACAAAATGGAATGTAAAATCACACTAAATTCTGAAGGGTTGTTTCAAATTTGAGTATATCATTGAAGTTCCAAAGCTGCCATTGGCCATTGAATTTCAGATTTAACACTGCTTCTTTTTTACCTTTGAGCGATTGTAGGGAATGTCGTACATAATAGAAAACCATTTACACTGGTGGCTTTTAGAGATGTTATTGAAAATGCAGCAAATCCATTTGACACAGACACACACACATATATATGTATTAGTTTCATAATGATATAAAATTACATTTTGTTGTGTTGTTTATGATTTCAATGCAAGTAATCAATACCTAAATATAAACTTATATGGCCCAGATTTAATTTACAGAAGTGCTGTTTAAATCTAAAATATACTATTCAAAATGTTATTAGAATAATTAATATTATTACTTAAATTTTTTTTTTTTTACTAGCTTTTATGGAATCATTTAAAAAGTGTTTGACACTAGGATTAGGATTTTGGCATGGATCTATTGAAGCAGTTTAATGATTGTTATATGTATTTTCTTGCTGTAGTTGCAAAGAGACAAAATAATATTTCATTGTTATGTTTTTTCTTTTCTAATTTAATATAGGAGTGGAACTCTTTTGTCCATGACCTGCATGAAGCGATTCAACAACAACTTACTGAGAGTCATGTGCAGTACTTTACTGATCTCTCTGAGGCAGAGAAAATGCTTTTTATGCAAAGAGCTACCAAGGTCCTTGAAGGAGGTGTTTCATTTTATTGGGGAATGTTGATAAATTTAAAAAATTAAAATTATGCTTGAAGCAAATGTTAACTACAAACTGACAATTAAATGTCAACATTTTGATAAGTTACAAAAATAATTTAGTAAAGACAATTAATTTTCAATTTTTACCCTGTAAAAGAAATTTTAATATTTATTTTAAAAAATTTAAAAAAATGCGGACCCCATTCTTATAATCCATTGAAAGGAAGAATTAATCTTTAAAAATTATAATTTGTTTGTACTTTTAGACTATATATTTAAATTATATTATTTCTAAGAAATTAAACACCATATTTAAAAAAAATTATGATGATCATAACAAAAATAGACATTAATTAATAACTATTTCAGGATCATCTTCCAAGAATTTATTCAACAGAGTTTCATCAGTTATGGACCAACAACTCAATAGTCAAGTTGGTCACCAACTGCTTGAAGAGAACCCAACAGGTATATACCACAAATATCAGATGCTCCACCTTTCAGCATGTGCAGCATTTGTCTGTATAGATGGGCTACTATTTAGTTTGTTATTCAGCTGCAGGATTCTAAAAAAATTTCATGCTGATTAAACGCCATCCTTCAGATAGTCCCACCAAAAACACTTTAAAGCTGTTTTTTTAATCTTTGATTAGCATATAACATTCCAATTGTTAGATCTTTACTTTTTATATTGTTTAGTTTACAACTTATCATTTGTATGTAGGGCTACTGCATGTTATTACAGGAATTAAATCTGTTCAATGTTTGCACTCGTCTTACAGTTTGAAAATAAAGGGGACAACATTGAAGTTTTTTAAAATTTAGTGAAAAAGGATAAATAAGTTAACTATGAAATATAGAATTTAAAAGCATGTTCATTTTTCATTCAGACACAAGATCGGACTTGGTGGTTGAGGCTGCTGAGGAAGGAGTTATCAGTCTTTTAAAAAGATGGCCCGATCTGAAAAGTAAACTCCACATTTGTTTTAACCAGCCGTTAGTTGAGCCCATGAGGCAGCTGGCTTGGCAGCTCTATCTCAGCAACCCTCGGAGTAAGTCTCAAATAATTTTTAAATTGTGCCAGCTAAGAATACAAACTCTTAGTACCAGTTATATATCTTTAAGACATTAAAAGCTGAAATAAAGGGATTGATTGCATGATGATTGCCCCTTTTTTTACTCTCTCATCATTATGTTATTGTTTCAGTTCGTAAAATTTATGTAGATCTGTTAAATGAGAATCCTCGTGCGGCCATTTCTCCAATGGACATTGAGATTTCACAGAAAGTGGAGCAGATGGTTTTATCTGAACAAACATTTGTTGACCTCAAAGGCTCAGTGGGTGAGTGAGTAAAACAAAAATCCTACAAACAAACGGTGACTAATACATTCATACATCCCAGTGGGGCTGCAGCCCATGTTGGGCTTTGCCCTGCCTCACCACTTCCTTCCACTCTGACCTAACTGATGCGTTTCTTTTCCATGATGCTTTGATTCCCAGCTGCTGTAGATCTTTTCCCACATCATCCATCCATCTAAGCCTAGGTCTGCCTTTGAGCCATTTTCCTCAGGGGTTTTGGTGGTGCACCCTCTTCACTCCTCTGTCATTTGGCATTCTTTCTAAGTGTCCTGCCCAGCATAGCCTACCCTTTTTTATTTCTGCTACTTGTGTGGGATTCAGGTTTAGTCTATACAATTCATATTCATCCTGACTATTACATTAGAGTGGCTGAAGGGTTGCAAGGGGAAAAAAAAGGTTAATTGATTGGTACTAATAAGCTCCTATGTTTATTCCAAACAAGACTTATAGGAGCTTGTTTGTGAGGTCTTTTTAAAATCTGGATTCATTGATTTTAGATTTTTCTTCTGGGTCCCACGTAACCTTATTATCTTTATCCAAAAACTTCATTCTATAAAAGTCTTGTGAAGATATAATCTATGATGTTGACATGTTTCAGGTCATTTCTATGCCATGAAAGCAACACTGTCCTATCACCATGCCAGGCAGCAAGCAAACAGCAGACTCAAGGATATTGACTATTTTCTGGTGGTACCTTTTGTTGTTGTTGCCAGCAACAGCTTATCCAGGTATTTTACACCAGATCTCTTTTCTTTCTGTATGTACATCAGCTGATTCCATATCCACCTGGTACTAAGAGAATTTTACACACAACTAGCATTATAATTATTTTTAATATATATTAAATAAATACTACAAATTAAATCTCATTGAAGTTATGAAAGAAAAGTCAGTACCATTAAGTGTACATTTTTATTTATAAACAACCCAAGAAAAGGCTCATGATTATGTCTTTAAAACTACAAAAATAGCTTTAAGAGAACAGTTTTCACCCAGCATGTAGGTAGCTGTTCCAAAGGGAGAAGAGTTATGAAACCTTCATATTGAACATTTCATCAATATTTTATGTCATTTTTGCTCAAACTTTAATAAATGCACTGAAGTTAAAAAAAAAAAAAAAAGATTTCATATTGTCTTTACTCAGACGAGAACCAGCACCAGGAAAAGTTGTGGCCCAACTGGTTGAAGAATATTTGACCTACATGAGCACAAGGCCAGGATTTGTTGTAGACTCAGGATCTCCGGTAAATTTTGTCACATGAACCTTAGTTAATTGTTGCATACAATTAAACATTATTTTTAAGCTTGCAGAGCACCTTGACATTTTGTTTTAAAAAAATAATAAAAGCTTAAAAAATTGTTTTCATGTCCAGTACTTTTGTCGAGCAATTTTATAAAGTGGTATGTAATGAGGGCTCAAGCTTTCATTGAAATCTAAGAATTTGAATTGTTTAAAATATCAAACTGATTGACAAATAGAAATTTCTATGAATAAAAATAGTTTATCACCAATTTACTAAGGAAAATATTTTTGACTGCATGGGGGCTTAAGAATGATAGTAAAGATGTAACAAATTCAAAGTTAGGCAATGTAACATATGATTTTAAAATAAAAAAACTTTCATACACACAGCAGCAGAGTAACTTCAGACATGTAGAATTGTTTTTAAAATGGTGTCACAACCTCACTTATTTTCTGAGAAACAAAATACAGCAAAAAAAATAAATAAATCTAGTGTGTGGGTGTGAGAGGAAATGGATAGCAATAGAGGTGGATGCAGCAGTGAATAATTCCATGATTGAACTAATCCCTCATCAGCTCCACAATGAAGAGATGAAAGGTTTTGTGGGCAAAGTGGCTGCTGTTTTAGAGAAGCATTATCCCGATGTGTCATCTGTGGTTGCCAAAACTTACGTCCCGGCCAGAGGTAGCACTGTCAACATTTTCAAATCATGAGATGGCATTTATTTATTTATTTTTTAAAGTGGCCTTTTTAAATATCTTTAGTACGGTAATGATCTAAACAACAGTTGAAAATAAATTGACGTAAATTAAAATGTGCATTTTGAATTTAATAATGGTTTATCTTGTCAAGTTGTAGGGCTAGAAGTAATTGTATTCATGATTTTAAAATGATATAAAAACTTTAAGATGATATAAATAAAGGTGGGTTAATCTATTTCCCCACATTATTAAATCCCATTTAACATTGGAAAATTCTATTCTTTTCTTAGAAAAAATTGTCACTACTGAAAAAGGGTCAAGAGCTTTGTTGTTGGAAGGCTTGCAAGAATTAATCAGGCCAATGGTTAGAACGATGTTGATAGGTGAGGAATGGATTGGACTTCTCTGCTCTTTTTGTTAATATGTTGCCTTTTACATTATTATGACGTCATTAAACTCAGTAGCCCTTTAAATTTAAAATTACAACAAAAGGAGAAAAAAAAAATAAATAAAAAGAAGTAATAATTCTATATTCATGAAAATAATATTTAAATACATTGTGAATTTTTTTTTTTTTTACAGTAGTATTCAATTACCTCTGTGAATAATTTCTATCATTCTACAATGTGCATTCTCTAAAACTCAAAGTTGACTCAAACTCAGCGCACTCAAAAAGTAAGACTTCTTAAGCTCAACAGACTCCTAAGTGTCTTTTCAATTTTCTTTACTCCTCCAGGTTATTTGAATTTCGAGACATTGTTGTATGTCTGGGACCAGTACATAATAGGGCTTGATGTCCCAGGATTCAGTGCTGAGTGGCTGTCTGTTGTCATAGCAACTCTTCTGGGCTTAGAGCATGATAAGCTTAAAGAATGCCAATCTGTAAGTATTTCCTTAAGTGTTCCACCAGGGCCCAAACTGGGAGTGTTCCCTCATACTATAAGTTTTCCCCAAGACTATGAGTGTTCCCCAAGACTATGAGTGTTCCCCCAGACTGTGAGTGTTCCCCAAGACTATGAGTGTTCCCTCAGACTATGAGTGTTCCCCCAGGCTGTGAGTGTTCCCCCACATTATGAGCATTCCCTCAGACTATGAGTGTTCCCCAAGACTATTAGTGTTCCCTCAGACTATGAGTTTTCTCCAAGACTATGAGTGTTCCCTCAGACTATGAATGTTCACCAAGACTATGAGTGTTCCCCGATACTATGAGTGTTCCCTCAGACTATGAGTGTACCCCAAGACTATGAGTGTTCCCTCAGACTATGAGTGTTCCCCAAGACTATGAGTGTTCCCTCAGACTATGAGTGTTCCCCCAGACTGTGAATGTTCCCCCACACTATGAGCGTTCCCTCAGACTATGAGTGTTCCCCAAGACTATGAGTGTTCCCTCAGACTATGAGTTTTCCCCAAGACTATGAGTGTTCCCTCAGACTATGAGTGTTCACTAAGACTATGAGTGTTCCCCGAGACTATGAGTGTTCCCCCACACTATGAGCGTTCCTCCAGACTTTTTTGATATCTGTATTTATTTCTGTAATATCATATGTATATTTTGTTAATATGTACCATTTTGAGCTTCAGAAGAATGTATTATTTTTCACTTAATCAGTTCTAAATACAACATATTTTATTATTATGAATCGTTTACGCTTATTTGAAATCTATCTCATCTTTACAACCCATAAAAAAAAGAGAGAAAGAAAGTGAATCTTTTGATCAAAACTATGTCTTAAAATAACAAATAAGTCACTTGTTGAAAATTGATTTTTAAAAAAAATAGTAAAAAGTATTGTCAAGAATGACTTCCTGTGCTCTACATTCCCACCATACCCCAAGAGTTACATCCCTTGTTTAGAGACTTGTTTCCATTGTTACTGTCTTGGACTTTTTTTTTTTTTACAAATGTTTTTTTTTTAATTAAAAAAAAAATTAAATTAATAAATTCAACCCAGCTTTCACATAAGAGTTACAAACCCAAATGATGGCATTCCATTCAAGCATGGCTTTTCAAAATCTTTTCCAAATATTTTTTTTTTTTTACAAATGTTTTTTTTTTAATTAAAAAAAAAATTAAATTAATAAATTCAACCCAGCTGTCACATAAGAGTTACAAACCCAAATGATGGCATTCCATTCAAGCATGGCTTTTCAAAATCTTTGCCAAATTCTTATTGTTTCAATATGCAATCATCAGCCCCTGGCCATGGAAACAGTACTGAACAGAGAAAGTCCTCTTTTGACCATCCAACAGTTTCAGTATCAGGTGAGTTTATATTTTTACTTCTTCCATGATGTGGGCATGTGTTACATTTCTTCTTCAAAAACCAACACCCAAGTGATGAAGTTAGTTTGACCCAAAAAAACAAGATGACAGGTTTTTTCCTCCAAAAGCCTAACACCTTGCCTGAATGAAGGTGTATGCATAGGTTTGGACATTTACTATTCATTTACATTACAAAAATGCTTTGACATACAACTATGCTTAATAATAAAATAACCTGCTTTAGGTGAAGCGTCATCATTACAGAGAACTTTTTGCAATGCTAACAGCTGATCAGAAATCTGCCATGCCAGTCCTTGATCCAACACAGTGTAAGTCTCTTCATAGTACATTATTTTTAAGCTTTTTAATTGAAAAAAATAAACTAATTTCTACTTTTAAGATCTATTTAATTTTTAAAAAATAAATTATAGTTGGTGTTTGAAAATATAGCACTGTTGCGGCGATGTAATCCTAAGTAAGGCTACCTGTCATGTGGGACATCATGACTTGGTTCTGCACCTTCGCACTCATTCTTTTCCCCCACTTATATTTCTCTTAATTAATTGCTTATCACTGGATGCTAGGCCAAATAATAAAACTTGAAGAAGTATTTTAATACTTACTTAATAATCTGTATTTCATTCATTCTTTTTATTGTTTGCCTTTAGCTCTCCATCCTCCTTGGAGACATTGGTACAATGATCAGATCCCTCCTTACACTAAACCTCAAGACAGACGGAAAGCTAGGGAGGAGAGGGAGGCAGAGAGGGAGAGGTGAGTTTAAAATAATGTTTTCTTGGTAACATTACAATTAATGATGAATATGAAATAAAGGGATCCTAGTTTTAATAATTAATTTATTTTCAGTATAAAGAAAATTATATTTTTTTTTCTTAAAAGTGGTTGTCTTAAAATATTTTATTTTCTGGAACTGCTATTCGCACTCTTATTTTTACTCATAGTATTGAGATATAGTCCAAATATTATTGGTTCATTTTCTTAAATTTAAAAGGCTAAATTTTAATTTGAATAAAAAGTCTTAAAATTTAAAAAAAAAAAAATTTAAGCATTGTTAACATCCATCTCAAAACTTTAAAACTCCTTACATTCTTTACATTGCTTGCAGACTTTTACAGCAGCAGAGAGATGCTGAAAGAATGAAGAAAGAAGGAGAGCTCAGAGACAGAAAGTGAGTCAGCTGACTTTAACAGATAAACAAGCTCATAAAAACAATAAACAAAAGACGATCAATAATGATTATTTATATAATGATGCACATTTTCTTTAATTTTTCAAACTATAAGTAAAATTTTTAAAAACTAAAACAGAAAGTGTTTTAATTATTAATGTAAAAAAATAAGGAAACAATCCATGGAATGACATAGACACAAGAGTTTCAGGTAAACAATATTTGTGTTTCCTCAGGACAACAGAAGGGGAGACAATGAAGATGGCAGCTGCTGAAAGAGCTCGTTTGGACAGGGAAAAGATTGACCTAGAATACCAACTCCAGGAGGTTAGTTTTTGAGGAATAATTGAGATTATCTCTAGGCCTGTAGTTCATTCGATTGCAGGTGTTGAAAGGCCTAAGTAGCTTTGAATTTTTCACTTGAATTATACATATGACTTTAACTTAGTTCATTTTATCATTATGTCAGAAAGCCAAAAGAAATTTGATACTAAATGAATGTGCACAACTAGTTAATCACTTTTGTATGTCACTTTTAATTGATTGATTTTAATCAATTTTAATTTGTCTTCTTTTTCTCCCTTTACCCTCTTCAGGCTGATGATCATGGCAAGGAGTAATTCCTCCTAGTTAAACATTATTTTTGGCTAATTCTAATTTTCTTAAAAATTGCTTTTCAAAATATTTTGTGCAAAATTACGTTGTAATTTCTTCTTCTAGGAGAAAAGGAGAAGATTAGATGCAGAGAAGAGGGCAAAAGAGGAAATTGAACAACTGAGAAGAGAACTGGATGCATTGAGGAAGCCGGTAAGTTTAGTTGTGTTTCTCATACATCATGCAATGCCTGTGTTTATTTAGTGATTGTTTGACCAGTGTTGAGTACTAAATTGATCCTCATACACATTGCCTGTGTTTATTTAGTGATTGTTTGACCAGTGTTGAGTACTAACTTGATCCTCATACACATTGCCTGTTTTTATTTAGTGATTGTCTGACCAGTGTTGAGTACTAATTTGATCCTCATACAGATTGCCTGTGTTTGTTTAGTGATTGTTTGACCAGTGTTAAGTACTAACTTGATCCTCATACACATTGCCTGTATTTATTTAGTGATTGTTTGATGTTTTCAGAAGTCTCCAAATCCATCTCTGATGAGCACAAGTTCCTATGTGAGGTAGGGAGTCAAGAGTTGTACTTGTTCTTTCTCTTGGCCTTTTCAAATGTCATTTTCATGTACCAGGTACAGCATGTGTTATCTGCAAAATGGCTTTCAAATTTTTTGGGTGTTAGTAAGATGTATGAATGTACTGTGAAGAAAACTTAAGCTTAATTAATATAAACATATAATTTTGACCATTCAAAAATCCCTGTAGAAGTAGTGGAACAAATCAGGTCATGCATCGCCTGTTACTTTGTTATGAAGTGACATCTTTTTTTCTGTTCATCAATAATTTTATAGTGTTAAGGTTTTAAATATAGACTTTTAATAAATTTCAATAATTAAACAAATGGAAGTTTTAAAAAAAAAAAGAAAAAAAGAAAAATAATTCAAACTTCTTTGCTTTCATTTCTTTCACTGCCATGTCACTCTGTCACTGCCATGTCACTCTGTCACTGCCATGTCACTCAGTCACTGCCATGTTACTCTTTTGTCACTCAGTAGCAATTTCATGTCACTGCTTTGTCACTACTATGTAGCAATTTCATGACACTATTTTGTTGCTGTTATGTCATTATAGTACACTTTCATATCATTATTGTTTCACTGTTATGTCACTGTTGTGTCACTGTTGTGTCACTGTTGTGTCACTGTCATGTCACTGCCATCTCACTGTCATGTCACTGTCATGTCACTGTTATGTTGTATCAATCAACAGCCGTATGCTGATTCCTCCCCCTCCCACACCTGACTCACAATATGGCCTGCCACCGATAGCAGAGTCCCCATCGCACAGCCCCGCCCAGGCAGAGGAAGTCATATTTGATTTTCTCAGAAAGATTCGCAAGAGTATGGATAAAAGTGGGTTTTTATTTGTTTTTTTTACAATCTACTTAAAAGGCAATCCCTTTTTTAATAAAGTGAAAGACTAAAATATCGTTTCTGTCTTAATTTAAAATCTGTTGGATAACTTTAGTTTGCTGTAAAAAGAATATTCTCTGAAATTATTATACAATCCTAAATTATCTTTATTCTAATTGATATGAAGTTTTATTATCATTTAGTCTTCATACCAAGGTTGAGTTAAATGAATTATTATAAATTTTATGCTAGCTTGTAAGTTTGTGGTTAACGGAAATTAGTAGGAAAATAATTTGTTTACAAACCAGTTCCCAAAGGAAGTTTGTTAAAATGAAAATTGTTAGAAATTAAATTTGCCCCAAACAGAACTTTTTTTTTGGGGCCTTATACGTTTCTTCATATAAATTGATTTTGAACGAATTGGTTTTGCATTTATCATCGGTTGATGATCTTTCATTGCTGTTAATTTTTTTGTTTGTTAATATGTCAGTTGCCAATGGAGAAGGACAAGAGGCAGAACACTTAAATAAAGAAACAGAGAAATACATTTACAACAATGTGCAGGACATCAAGAGGGCCCAGGCGAGTATTTCCAGGAAGCAACCTACTGTTTATTAGCATATTTACCTTCATCATTCAATCTCCTTTAAAAGGGCAATAGATTTATTCAAATGTTTCCCATCTAAAGTTTCAGTTGACAGTGTTTCAGAAAATCACATCTCAGATTTGTGTAAAGGCGATGATACAGAATAGTGGTGTTTTTTTTAAGCATAATTTAAAAAATAACAATGTCAAAGAGATGTTTTTAAACTTTCAACTGTGATTCCAAATCAAAATGGTTGTGTAAGAAAAATAAGTGATAGTCCAAAGTCATGGGAGAAATGTCAACAGTTCTCACTCTATTTAAAATGTTTAGCGGCCATTGGTCACAACTGTTTTGGGATGTTATGCTTCCAGTCACAGCTAGTGCATTAAACTAGTGCATTGAACTAGTGCATTTAGCCAGTGCCTTCAAATTACCCAGTAAATTAAACATGTAACAAACGCTAGGCAAGTAACATGACACCTTACAAAAATTACCTGTGGTCTCACTCTGCTTTCACTGGCGTGTAGTTATTTTTACCTGTGCCTACCTGTATTTCAGATTGAAGTGTTTGGCCACAGATTACAGCCTGGTGAGTTTGAGAGGATGGACGCCCATAAACAGAAGAAAGCCAGCGACCAGATCATGGAACTTATACAAAAATGGAGGGAAGACAGGCGGGCGAGGGAGCTTAGGAAAGTGATGTAACAGATTTAATCATTACGGTCAAATTTAGTTGTATTATTTTTATGTTCAAAATATTTATTTGTAATTTATAATTTTTACAATTACCGTATATACTCGCATATAAGCCTACATCGCATATAAGCCGACCCCCTAAAACTGCTTTAAAATGGCCAGTTTTTGCAAAAACCCGCATATAATCTGACCATAAAATTGTCTAATTTTACTCCATATTTTTGGTTCATAGAAATGTGTTACTGTAAAGATGTAAGATGCTTACTTTAATGTTACATACCAGTTTGTTTACCTTTCGGAATGACACAAAAACGTGTTCTGCTCTTTCCACATTGTTTGCTATAATAATATCTGAACCTCCGCTCATAAGTTGTTCACAACTAATGAATTAACGAAGTATAGATTTAGAAAAAAAATTATACGTTTTGATATGAATAAAGATGAACATTCTTTTGTTGTGTTTTATTTATTCACAAAAAAACGATCACATTTCTGTTTATAATTTACCGTGGTGATCTGCTTCACTGCTAGCTCTAGCTTGGTTACGGCTGACCACTGGTGCACACACAACCACACGACGGCTGGCCACTGGTGCACACACAACCACACGACGGCTGGCCACTGGTGCACACACAACCACACGACGGCTGGCCACTGGTGCACACACAACCACACGACGGCTGGCCACTGGTGCACACACAACCACACGACGGCTGGCCACTGGTGCACACACAACCACACGACGGCTGGCCACTGGTGCACACACAACCACACGACGGCTGGCCACTGGTGCACACACAACCACACGGTTGTGTCAGTCTCACTTTATTCTATACATTTGCTCTCAGAGTATTAGTTAGGAAACCATGGACATAGGAAACATGGAGTATTAGTTAGGAAACCATGGACATAGGAAACATGGAGTATTAGTTAGGAAACCATGGACATAGGAAACATGGAGTATTAGTTAGGAAACCATGGACATAGGAAACATGGAGTATTAGTTAGGAAACCATGGACATAGGAAACATGGAGTATTAGTTAGGAAACCATGGACATAGGAAACATGGAGTATTAGTTAGGAAACCATGGACATAGGAAACATGGAGTATTAGTTAGGAAACCATGGACATAGGAAACATGGAGTATTAGTTAGGAAACCATGGACATAGGAAACATGGAGTATTAGTTAGGAAACCATGGACATAGGAAACATGGAGTATTAGTTAGGAAACCATGGACATAGGAAACATGGAGTATTAGTTAGGAAACCATGGACATAGGAAACATTGTCTGTTTTTTTAGTATTTTTTTCTTAATTTTATCCCATTTTTTACTTCAAAAATGAATTCTCCATGGTAATATTCATACTCAGTATAATTATCAGCTATGCATACATTGAACTCGTGGAAGTGACACCTCTATATATATATATATATATATATATATTAGTACTCTGTAAACACAACCAAATCAAGAGTCAGATAGCGATGAAAATGTGTGGCTGGAGAATTGGCATTAGTGTATGTCCTTGTGTCCATTTTGTTGTATGCGCATATAAGCCGACCCCCTGATTTTAGTATTGCAGTATTGTATTTTATAGTTCTAAATTTGGCTTACATGCGAGTATATATGGTAGATCATTCTTCAACAACATTCAAATTATTTTATTTACACGTTGCAGCAAATTTGATAGTGCACACTGAGTTTTGTTTTGTGAGCCCTTCCACTTCTACCTTTACATTTTATTTAAAAAGTAAAAATTTGTAAATTAAACAAAAAATCTGATGGGACACTTTTCATAAAAATCTAAAAATTTTTACATTTAATTGACAAAGCGCAGTATATTGGAAGGAACTGCATAATTTCATGTAATTTTTTTTCCTTTCTTAATCTGAATATGGTGCCCAGTACATCTTGGTTTATAAAGCATTGGACCATAGATAAGCTGTTATTGGTATATAACTATGTATTTGAAAATATCAGATACTGAAGCAGACCTTATGATTATATCAGACAGTAAAGAAGACCCTAGGAAAATATTAGACAGTAAGGAAGGCCCTAGGAAAATATCTTATACTAAAACAGGCCTTATGAAAATATCAAATACTGAAGCAGGCCCTATGATTATATCAGAATGTGAAGAAGGCCCTAGGAAAATATTAGACCGCGAAGCAGGGCATATAAAATATCAGACAGTGAAGCACACACCACAGGATAAAATCGTAACCACTGTATCAAGTCACCAGTGTCAATAGAAATAAATGTAAAGGCATTGAACATAATGACACTGCTTCCCTTGCCCACCCATCTACAAACTTCACCCAGAATCTGTGACACATCATGGTTAACTGATCAAAGTGGTCATGATTTGTGTACACTGCTTTTGTTGTTAAATAAGAAACACACACAGGGCAGAGGAAAATCCGAAGAAGGACAATGAAGGAAAATTTGAGATCTCGACCAAGAAGCCGTTGACCACAAAAGTACAGACCACGAACCCTGTGCATATTTCTTATTGCTGCAATCTGAACGTGGTCCTTCCCTTTTTAAAAAAAATTGTTGTCAACCATTTAACTCCGTCCCATTTGATGGAATCTCTTCATCAAGTCAGCTTGTATGTAATCAGTCTATTAATTCATTTATGAAAAGCTTTTCTACTGTACCCTTCCACAAAAATTTATGCAACTGCTTTGCTTATTGAAGAAGCCAAATGTTTATATTCCTAAATATCTTTCAAAGAAACATTCCACAGTTCAGCTTGGGGTGCTGGGTGGCCGAGCGGTCTAAACTGTCTCAAACCAAAAAGCCGGTGGTATGGAGTTCAATCCCCACCAAAGCCAACATCCCAAGCACCCCGGGTGGATGGGTCCCGTTAGCCTTGGACGGCAGCCCATCTAAGAGAAGGCAAACTCTGAATTTCAACCAGGAGCCAGAATGATCAACAAATTGATCGTGGGCACCTCAAATATAAGAAGAAGAAGCTTCATTGCATTTCCAATGGAGACTTACATTTAATATCGTATTTATATTTTGATGTAATTGATTTCCTTTTTAAAAAGAATTTGTTGCCATAAATTTGAAAAATGACCAAGGCTGGCGAGATTTGGGGGAAACTGTTCTTTACAAAAATGTATCAAACAAGAGAGACTTTTTTTGTGAATGATTTTTTTGTTTTTCTTTTCTTGCTGCCAAACTTTGAGTGAACAGGATGTTGTAGTACTGCACCACAAAGAATTCTCTGGGTGTGTATGTATGGGTGTAACAATGTGTTCAATAGGCGTGCTAAATAAAATTCCCAGAAGTGGTTTCAAAATTGGGATTCTTATAAAGTGTGTTGCGTGAATGCATGCTTTGTCAAGTGACTTTAGTAGATCCACCCATCCACACAACTGGGGCGGCCATCGTTTGGCAAGTTATTTCTTGTAAACAAAATATTACCGCAGCATAGAAACAATGACAAAAATAGGCTCTTATTTGTATGTGTTTTTTAAAAAAATGTTTTGTCCCAGCTCTGTCATTTACATGGACCAGACTCTGTCGTTTACATGGACCAGACTCTGTCGTTTACATGGACCAGACTCTGTCATTTACATCGACCAGACTGTCATTTACATCGACCAGACTCTGCCATTTAGATGGAGCTGACTCTGCCATTTACATTGACCAGACTGCCATTTACATGGACCAGACTCCGCCATTTACATGGAACTGACTCTGCCATTTACATGGACCAGACTATATTTACATGAACCAGACTCTGCCATTTACAGGAACCAGACTGCCATTTACATGGACCAGACTCTGCCATTTGCACGGACCAGACTCTTCCCTTTCCAGACTCTGCCCTCTCCATTTAACTTTTAGAACTCAAACTTTAATTTCTTGTTTCCGTTTGTTCTTGTTTAAAAAGTATATTGTCATAATCATTTTTATTAATATTTTTGCTTTGGCAAAATTTAAAAAAAAAAAAGGAAAAAATGGGTCACAGTCATAAGTTTGATGTACATTTTTGAGGAGCAGTTAAAACCGACTCATATAGTTTCTCCATCCAGTACTTTTAGACAAGTCCCCGCATGTGTCAATATTGTCTCTATCCTTTATTATTGCCAGCACTACTACTAATGAATGGCGGGCTTCTTCCAGACTTTTGATTTTAATGTCAAGCTGCCGATCCCTCCTCCGGTAGTCTTTCACGTTAAAGATTTACGGCATAATTTATAGAAGCGGAAGGAAAGTGTATTTATTTCCGATGCCTTCAACATACTGAGAATATTTATATATTGTATGAGAATATTTTATGAGAATACACAAGCTCTAGACATATGTTCTTTTTAAGGACGAACTCTTTATTTCCTAAAGTAATTGCGGTTATTAAATAAATGAGAAATACATGAAACAAAATAATATGTTGTGAGTCTTTTTTCTTGCAAAAGTCGCCATGTAAATCGCTGGTAGTCCTGGTAGACGTTTGTCTGGCCGTTGAAATGCTGAATGCTCAGCTCTTCTAAATGCAACAAGGTCATTGGAAAAAAAAAGGAAGAGAGGGGGGGGTGAGGGTGGGGTAGAACTTCAGATGATCCTTACCGTGACCTCTTGAGTGTGGTATCGGACTCGGTTACATCAGCGGATCCCAGCGAAAGACAGGAGACTACATCTCCATGCTTCAAGGAACCTTAGTCAGGTTGCGAAACATCCAATGCCGTCAATGCCACCAAGGACGTAGGAAGGGGGAATATACTATACCACCGATGACGTAGGAAAGGGGAATATACTATACCACCGATGACGTAGGAAAGGGGAATATACTATACCACCGATGACGTAGGAAGGGGGATGTGGAGGGTTGGTACGCCCCGGGTGTATTTTATTTAATGAGGGGTGGAATATCCGGGCAACTGCAGAGTTTTTTTGTGGGGTTGGGGCGGCAAAAATCATGGCCCGTCCGTGGGGGGGGGGGGGCACCTAACCCTAGCTACGCCGTTGTCCGTCACAGTCCGGATGTTGGGTATCGATACATTCCTGCGGTTCTTTTTTTTTTTTTTATTTAAATTTACGAAAAATAAAACTACAAGGGCCCCCGATTACAGAGTTTTTTTGTGGGGTTGGGGCGGCAAAAATCATGGCCCGTCCGTGGGGGGGGGGGGCACCTAACCCTAGCTACGCCGTTGTACGTCACAGTCCGGATGTTGAGTATCGATACATTCCTGCTGTTCTTTTTTTTTATTTTATATAAATCTACGAAAAATAAAACTACCATGGCCCCCGATTGAACCGCCCATGACGCAGTGGGTCTCTCTTAATGAATAATTGACGCCGCCCAGATGAGATCGCCGGTCACCCGGGGTACATATTTAGTATTG